TTTGTCTGAGAAATTTGTTTTGTTGAGCAGCTTTGCTTTCATTCAAATGAATGTTGCCATTGCTTTTATTTTCCTAATACAGGAAGTAGTAACTCCCATTATTATATTAAGCTGTTTCCTTTCTAAGACACTTTTGCAAGCTGGGTCTGCAGGTTTTTTCTGTCGTGCTGATCTTAAATATTGTGTGTGTGCTTCCTGAAACCATTTAAGCATTGATGGAAACTATTAGCATGTTGGTGCAGCCTTAACAGAGAAAGGTTACTTAGTCTAAAAACACTCTTTCCTCCACAGAGAATCTTCCAGTCTTATATGATGCTGTGTGCTGCTACAGTGATTTTCACAGGCAGTTTTAATGAAGAACTGAGTGAGTTTGAGGTTTAGAAACAGAATGCTTTGGAGTTTTCATTTCTGGGCATAGATTCAAATGTGGCTTCCATCAGCCAGTGAGTAGTTCCATCTGATGACCACCTCATCTGTGCATAGCCCCCAGACCTCTTCTTTTTTTTTTTTTTTTTTTTTATTCATATGTGCCCCCAGACCTCTTCTATTCATTTTGTCTAAGCAGGTGTTCATGTTACACAGAAAATGCTGTCACCCCTGATTTTTATGGGCTGTAGGGGTATTTTCAACTGAGTGGTGGACTTCCAAATAAGATGAAGAATTCACCTCCACCCTTTCCCCCAGCTAGAGTCTTTGTAGGAGAGTACCAGACCATCCTACAGAATGTCCTACATCTAACAGTCACATCCAGGAACTAATCTGCAAGGAGAAAGAAGACCTGATTTGTCCTCTGCAGCACTCTCACACGGATCCTAATGTCTTGTCCTCTTCTACCCCAGCCAGCCAGGAATTTACTCAGGCCTTCCCCAAGCTTCACTCACCATGCAAAGTCTTCTTAGTGGATAAGGGCAGTCCACCCGAGCTCTGGGGAATCCTTATGGCCGATCTCGGTTGCAGATCTGGTCTCATGGTTCACTGGTGGTTGTAGGGAGAAGGGGCGGTGCTCTCAAGTGGTGGCTGCCTCTACATTGGAGCTTTGGGACAGGCTCCAACAGCGCAGTCTCCAGCGTTCGGGAGGTGAGCAATGAGTGGTAGCAAGGCTCAGATTTTTAGGCTTGGTGGTGACCTCATAGTTGGTGTTAGCCATCTAAACACCTTAGGATTGGCTCATTTGCATATCGACCCGTCATTCTCTGGCTTGGTTTCTTAGTCCTAACACACACTAGCTAATAATTATTATTACAACAATTTTCCATACTTTAACACAATACAATCAATTCAACAGCAATCTTATATGTGTTCACCACAGTCGTGTTGTTTTTTTCCTTTCTATATAGAAGAGTATTTTAGTCTAGTTAGTTTGATCTAAAATGTCTTGTGTTAAGAGATGTCCCTTGAAAATATTTTAAAGTTGATTATGGTGATGATTGTACAACTCTGTGAATATGTTACAAATCATTGACTTGGACCCTTTAGAAGTGTTTGGATTTTATGGCATGTGGATTGTATTTCAGTTAACCTGATGTGTGAATGTGTATATAGGCACAAGATTCCCCTTAGTTCAAAATTCTAATAGCTAATAAATAAGCACAGGTGCTCATATTATTGTTGGTTTTCATATGATTCCTCTGAGCTTCTAAATTGCCTGTTCAAAGAGATCTAATTTTTTTTCAGTTTAACCTTATGTACATTAATTTATCAAACCAACAAGCACATGTTTAGCACCTTTCAAGTTGCAGAAGCCAAGTTGTTACAAGGACAATGGTGATCTAAGAAAAGAGAGCAATTGTCACAGGAATTATTATTAATAATAAAGTAGTAATTGGAATTGCAGCCATTCTGTTGGGGAAGCACAATAGTGTCAACAATTGAGTCCCTGCTAATGATTCAACTGGGGAAGGGCTTGAAAAGAAGAAATGAGTGGTTTACATTACAAAGGGATCCTCTGAGAGCTGCTCAAGTGTGGTCAGGAGGGAAGGTCAGACTGGAGACAGGAAGGATGATAACCATGGAGCTGTCAAGGGTATCTTGGGGCTTTAGGGAAGAGCTACTGGCAGCTTGATGCAGCTGAAGCATACATGTCCTTTCCCTGCCTAGCATTGATTGATAAAAAGGAAACACAATGAGAAGATAATTGAGCAAACCAGGAGGCCTGGGTAAGTGTCACACAACCTAAAAGTGACCCCTGGGAGCATTCAGAACATTGGCTGAAAATACTTCTGGCTTCACTGTGATCAGAATTAGACCATTCTGAGCAGAATAAAGTAAAGTCTTGTGTGTGTGTATGTGTGACAGAGAGAGAGAGAGAGAGAGAGAGAGAGAGAGAGAATAAAATGCAATGATTGGCAGATCTATTGAAAAGAGTACATCCTTGACATCTGATGAACTTCTGCTCATGATTACACATTTCTAACACACACACACACACACACCAGATGCTTTGGGTCATATTAAAAAAATCATGAGTGACCATCTACAGTCCACATTCATTGTCTCATTTGTTCTAATACTGTCCTTTTCCCATCCAGTCCAGGCTGTAGCCAAGGATCAGGTATTATATGTAGTTTCTTACATTAGAGAGACAGAGAGAGCAAAAGAGTATGATGAAACAAATGGGACAAAATGTTAAGCATTGATCGATCTGAGTAAGGAGTGCTCTCTCTGTGTGACCCTGATGGCCTCTTTAGATCCCATAAGACTTGTACTCTGGCCAACTACTCCACAGCATTCTTTTTGTTCCTTAAACAAACCAAACTATTCTCACCTTTGGACTTTTGCATGCAAGCCCCCTCTTCTGCCTGAGCTAGACATGGCTGGCACCTTCTTGTCATTTAACTCTCAGTTGAAAACCTTACTTCCAAGAGAGGATAGCCTGTTCACTGAAGTAATGATCCAATCAGTTTCTATCCCTCTGTTTAAATAATCTGCCTAGGCCTATCATGAGCTGATAATTTTATCTGTCTTGTTCACTGATATAGCTGAAATGCCCCAAACAACACATGGCACTTTGTAGGTGCTCAGAAACTATTTGTTGAATGAATATGCTAATTTAAATATCTAGAAGTAATGATGGCAATGCCTCATAGATGTGCTTTATGCAAGAAAGTGCTTCCAAACTGCAATCAGCAGACATACACTTATAGGGAAGACTTTATCCTACATCAGAATATTGGTAAATGAATGTACACATATATATTTCAATTTAATGTTAAAATGTTTGAGACATATAAAGTCATTCTGTATTTTCTACTGTAATAAACTATTTTATTATGAATAGCTATACAAATTATCTTGCTTAGGAAGATATACATTGTAGATAAAATATATAGATACAATAATTTCTGTTATATAAGTAGTATTTATATAAAAACAAGAGAAATATGTGCAAATAATAACCCATCTTTATGGGAACTGAATTTTTACTTTTTGTATTTTCCAAATTTATACATATGGTTGGTTTTATTGTCTTTTTCTAATTTAAAAAATAGTTTTAAGGGATAAAACAATACAGAATCTATGTGACCAGATATTGATAGGACCGTAAATGCAGTTTGGAATTTGGCATGCCTAGTGAAGCTTTGTAGATAATTTGTAGGTAACTGATCTGGGCATTGAAAAGACTACAGGAATTTTGAGAGTTGACAGAGAGAGTGAACAAAAATAGGAAGGGAGCAACAAGCACACAGAGACAATGAGGACATGGGTCTAATTGAATAGAAGTCACATGAAAAAGTTTAGATAGGATCACATTCTAGAATATCTTTAAAGTCAGCAAGGTTTTTAGATTACAAGTGGGAAGAAATAATGAACTATTATAAGTTCTCAAGAAAAAGGGTAACATGATGGCATGGATATTTTCAGAAAATTGCTTAGAGCAGGGAGTAAAACAGAGCTGGCAGTTAGGGGTATAATGCCAGTATCCATCTGGTGTCCACAGTTGACTCCAAAGTCAGCCACAGCCTGCTCTGCCTGGACACAGCCTCAGACCATCTTCATCCAGTCCTCCATTCAGCTATTACTAATCAATCCGAGTTGGCCAGGAAATTTGCCTGACTGTGTCTATGTGTGTCCCGGTAAAGAAGTAAACCATTGGAGGGAGGAAAACAAGAGAGAAGTGAAGGCCCAAAGGATGAAACCTGAATTATAGTAGCTCTGAGAATAAAAGAAGGATAAGTATCTTGGCATTCATAGGTTTATATTTTAAATAGGGCCAGAAATAGAGATCTTTTTGTATAACTCATTATTCAGTTGTTAAAGAAATGTTTTGCTTTTTCTTTCTAGGTGTTTGTCACTGGTGTACAATTTGTACGGATTTACTTTTAAAAAAAATCTTTCCCTAAATATTTAATAAACCTTAAAAACAGTAACTTCAACAAATGATGTGCCAAAAAATAAGAGTCTTGCCTGTTTTTAATCTATAAAGATTTGGATACACCTGCTCTGCCCATTCGTGGGAGTTAAGTTGACAGATATGTTAAGACACTATTTTGAGATTTTTTTTTAAGGTTTTGTTTTCAGTTATTTTTAAATTGCCAAATAGCAAACAAAATTAAAAATAAAATGAAATTGTGTCATCTTTGGTGGCGGGGGCAGCTTCTACTCTGTCACTGTGTGGGCTGCAAGCAGAACAGAATGTTTATCTTAGCTGCACGTTGAAGTTGGAAAATAAAGTTAGCAATAGCCAAAAGGCGTTCTTTTGAATAACTTATCACAAAAGAGAAAATACAAATCTAGTGGCAAATCAACTCTCCTTTAAAAGCTAGTATTTCTTGGGTCTGAGAACACTGTTGCTTCAACATGGAAAATTTCTTTTCTGTTCTCTGGATTGGTTCAGGGTAACCTCCCGATGCCTCTGACTCAAGATTTGGTTGGTAGGACAAATGTCAATTGAATCTTTTATGGATGACTTTTGTTTTCTTTCCTTTTCCTTCTTTTTTTTCCCCTTTTCTTCTTTTTGTCCTTTTTTTTAACCCCATTTTCTGTGGCTCACCATGATCAAGAGCTTACAAGACCCTATGAAAAAACTAATTGAGAAAGAAGAAAAGAAGAAGCTCACCAGGAAGGAAAGCACAGAGCCGGCAGTACAAGAGCTGAGTCAGTAAGTCCCCGGCTCCTTCCCATGGCACAGGCTTCCTTCCCACAGGTGAGGGCAGCGCAGTCCTTGCTGGCCAAGTCCAATGGGTACTCAGACACAGAGCAATCATTCCTCTTCCTCAGTTTTCAAAGTATATGGACTCATGTTGAGCCAAGCTTCCTCAGCACATGTTCCTGTTAGACGGTGCCTCACTCATCCCAATGAGGACAACATCAGGGAGCCTCAGAAGACCCCACTCTTTCCCCACAGTGCCTGGCTCTCTATCTTGTGCCTCAGCCCCTGCTTCATGTTCTCTCTCCAGTTTGTGGACCCTATTTGGTTCTTTTGTCACCAGCATTCAAAAGATGCTGTCCTAGACAGGAAATTCCCCTAGTATTTCTTTCATAGAAGCTTATAACTTATGAAATTACCTTAGTACACATGAGCTATTATCCCACAAAAGTGTTGGGTTGTGATATTTTTGTTTTCACTGCTCAGACTTTCTGTTTTCTCCTTTGTGAAACAGAGAGCAGCTTCTAGTGCAGGAAGTGACTACCCCACCTCCACTTCTTACCTCGTACAAACAAGGCGCCTTACCTCGGTCATAAACACCAAAGTGAACTTTGCAACACAGATGGCATGTGGTTCCTAGTCCCATCCAGCAAGGTTTAAATTGGAAAGCGTGTCGTTCTCTATGGAGATGTAATGGCCCACAGGAATACAGTTACTCTTTGAACTAGCTGACCTATGAAAGCAAAGATGCCAACCTTGCCCCATTCACTGGTTCCTTTTCTACACACACATAAAAATTTGGCAATTTTATGGTAAAGGAGGCTCATAGTGTTACTGCTATTCTAAATAAAGTTTCAGATATAGTTTCAGAAATAGTTTTGTCCCATAGAAATATTTACTATCAATATTAGACCTTTTTAACTTTAAAGCAAACACTAGAAAATTCTCTAGTGCAGAACAAAGACAAGTTTCTATTGTCAGACCAACTATGGCACGTGATCTGAAGCTAGTTTGATTGGCTCTTTAAGGAGAACCTGTTTAACCTATTCCTGGTAAGGGTAATATTGGTACCTGTCATTTAGTAAACACCTGCCAAGTACCAGGCAGGGTGCTAGGTGCTTCGTGTTACTCATTCTCATGCTAACCCTCAGTGCCTTCACTTAGGCATCTCCCCATTATGTAAAGAGTGGAAATGAGGATCACAGAGATTAAGGGATTGCCCGTGGCCTCTTGTGTAGTAAGAAGCAGAGCCCAGAGTGAGTCCTAGTACCTTCTCTTCACCATGTAATTTAGTGCCATCAAAATAAAGCACTAACCTTTTCTTAGAAGGAAACTGCCTAGGAGTTTCTTGATTTATTTTAATTTCAGATTTCTTAGGTACTTCAACAGTTCTGGTACTAGGATTTCAACTTAGGGATCTGCACTTAGCTAGGCCAGTATTCTACCACTTGAGCCACACCACCTGTCCTTTTGTAGTGTTGGTTATTTTTGAGATAAGGTTTCAGTAACTACTTGCGGGACTGGCTTCGAACCATGATCTTCCTGATCTCTACTTCCTGAGTAGCTACAGTAGTTCATTTTTAAAAGCACAAAAGGCATAAGCCAGTCACTATTTAAAATGACAGTGAAAATTTAATAGAAATTTTGTTCAGAAATGGCAGATAAAGGTGAACCATGGTGCCAGGAGGAACATTGAGAAGACACCAAATGAGTCTTGGAGCAGTAAAGTGTCTATTTTTAAAGACATAGAAAGAACTGGGGTAGGCAACTGTCCACCTGGGTTTGAGAGTGATCCTGCTTTAAGCCTTCTTTGGTTTAGCCAATCTCCTGAGATTTAGCCAATCTCCTGAGGTATCCTCTTCTATAACACCAGGAATAAGAATAAACCACTTGTTGGCCATCCATTTTTATTGTTTCACGAGGCGATAACTATATATCTATCTATCTCAGTTATCCCTAACATCTAGATGTTTATAGAATTTGTGCCTTACGATGAAACTAAACTGAGACAGTAAGATGCTACAGAATAGGATAAAAAGCCAGCAAATTCATTTCTTCTTCAGAAAATGTATAGCATGCAAATAACTATCATACATATATGTACATATGTTGCTACAAGTGAAGTAATAAATATTGTACTGAAATAATCTGGCTGTGTCATAAATAATAGCCTTTACAGAACTTAGTGACTAAACTCTCCTTTTATTTTAAGGTTAATTTCATTAGAGGAGGAAAACCAACCAAAGGAATTCTCCAGTTTTAACAGTAAGTTTTGATTTTTCATTTAGAATTGCTTCTGAAACACTACTTAATGCTCAATAGCCAACTCATTTTCTTTTTTTGGCAAACTCCCTGTATGCTTTTCTTCTCTTCCAATTGAGAAAAGACTATACTAATTTGCTTCCTACAGTTTCAGTTTTAAATGTTTGAATATTAACAGTGTCAACCCTGTAGCATTACTGATGTTACTGAGAGAAACTATAAATTTTGAACTAGAAAATGGCAGCCTTATTTACTCCAGTGCTGCCCTTCTGGGGAGCAGCCATGAGTGGAACCTATCATAAAGCAGTCTCTTTTTCCACAACAGATGATAAGGTTACTGCTGCCATTGCCTTAACTAGTCCTAACTGCCACATGCTCTTTGGAGATGGTCTTGAGATAATGTTGTTACATCAGAAAGGTGTGGCCTTTGGAGATTTGTGGGTGGGTGTTGGTCATTGTTAGGGACAGGTGGGGAGAACTCAGACTGCTCTGCCAGGTGATTCCTTAGGTTGCCTGTAGTAAATGGCACCAGGTCCCTCAGGTGAACCCAACTTGATGTGTTAAGAGAAGGATCATAACATCAAGTCTTCTTGCTGTTTCCTGTCTCCTCCATTGCTACCAGTGAAAAAACCCATTGATTCCTCTTGTCATAAAGGAGTGGAGGGTATGAAAAATCATGATAGAACTAATATGATATAATGCTGAGCCTTTTACCAGGGCTGAAAACCTTCAAAGATGCAGAGGAATGTTGTATGGATGTTATGAAGAGAATTAAGATCACCCAACCCTCCTTAGCCAGGCCTTTCTGGGAATGCACCCACACCTGTTCTAACTCACGTTGTGCTGGGAAAGGCTTTGCTGGAGATGACAGGTGGCAAAGCAAGCTATAACTTTTCCTCTGTCTTCCTTCCTATTTTACCAACCACTTGCACTTGCATCACCTACTTTTTTCTTCCCCCACCTCACTCCTTCATTTGCTTTTCTATCTGGCTTTCAATAGTTAAAAACAAACCAAAAAAAACCTCACTATTTCACCTCCAGTGCTTGGCTTCCTGTCATCTGCTCATGCACTTGTGTCTTCACACACTCAAGGATTTGTCCATTTGTTCAGCAGATGTTTACTGAGAGCTGCTCTGTCCCAGGCACGGCACTGGGCTCTGGACAGACAGTGGTGCACCACACATATTCAGACCTTTCTGGAATGGGGCTCACATTCAAAAGGGGAAATAAATGGTAAACTAAAATTAGATATTTGGGCAACTCCAACTTTGTGGAAGCTACCCTGGAGAAATGCAGGGCTCTGTGCACATGTGATAGAGAGACTTCACTTGTTTGAGGGGATCAGGGGACAAGCCAAAGCGAAGTTCTATTACAAGTCTTGTCAAAGCAAAAAGAGCCAGCCTGGCAAACACTATGAACCAGGGAGGAGCAGGTAAAGGTAAGAAAAATAATATTCTACAACATGAGAAGGGGAGAAAAGGGTGGAGAGGCTGGGCCTGATCTCACGGTCATGGAAGAGCCCTGTCTGTATTGATGCAAGCCTCCAGTCTCAGTGACCCTGAGTAGACCTATAGCACGGATCATTAATGTTGTGGGAATCAATATCACTGAACAGAATAAATTTAGTTCTGTGGACAAATGTAAACTCCAGTTTATGATATTTATATGCAAGTTACAAATCTATATAAGTAATGTATTCATACAATATGTGACTAGGCAAGGGAAAATGCAAATTTTCTCTTTCCTTATACAATATAATTGGGCGCGGTATGTGCATAATATTTTGAAATTGTAAATGTCTGTCACTTTGTTTTACATATACATAGAATGGAATCCATTATAATGAAGTGACATCTGTCTTTTATTCTGTGACCTGCAGAAAGTCTAATGAACACATGAGCAAACCACGTTTTAAGTCTGTTATATTGTATGCATGTACATGTGTGTACACACATATACACAACATAATTTTTTGTTTAGAGTAGGTTTTATTTCACAGCATAAATGGGTGCAGAGCACAAAGATTTCCCATATACCTCCTGTCCCCACATATGTGTAGGCTCTCTCACTGTCAACATCCTATGCCACAGTGACATATTTGTTATAATTAATGAACCTACACTGCCACATGGTTACCCAATGACCATAGTTTCATAGTGTTTACCCTCGGTGTTGTACATCTTATGGGCATTAAAAATATAAAGTGATATGTTTCTACCATTAGAGTATCAAACAAAATACTTATACTACCCCCAAAACGTCTGTGCTCCACCTAGTCATCCCACCCATCTCCCAAAACCCTTGGTAACCACTAATGTTTTTACTGTCTCCATAGTTTTGCCTTTTCCAGAATGTCATGTGTGGGAATCATACAGTATACAGCCTTCTTTCATTTTGTAATCTGCCATTTTAATTTTAGCCAGAGCCATAAGGCTAAAGTTCACCAGCAACATCAAGGTATAGTCACACAGTTGTCCATGGAAGAAGAATTGGTAGGCCTGTGTCATATGGTTTTCTGGAATATCTACCAAACAAAGCAAAGATTTGGGGTTAATTCTGCATTCATTGAAAGCCAATGCTGGAGTAAGCATAATCTGAGGACATTGCTTCTGAATGTATGAGTTTATGAATGCTGTTTTTACCTGAAGCTGTGCATTTGCTTCACATTACATAAACATGTACACCACTTGAGTTGATGATAACCAATTACATATATTATATTACAGCTGAAGATGGAAAAAGTATTTTGTCTGCCATAGACAAAAGCACTACACATAATGCATGTTCAGGTAATGTAGATTAAGGAAAATACTCAATTTTAATAATTTGATTCAAATTCCATATGAAATAAAACTAATTCATAATTTCTTTCCTGTCCTCTAAAGGACCTATGGATGAATTGTTGGACGTGAAACCTGAGGAAGGTGGTAATATTTATGCATTTCTTTGAAGTTTATAATTTGTTTAGTTTTTCTTTTTTACATGTAATAAAATGTAATATTTATCTTTTAATAGCTAAGCAAAAAAAATTTAGGTGACAGTCTTTACAAATGATTTTTAATATGCCCAAGCATGATTTAGTGTGTCTGGATCTGTCATTGTTACTATATTTAATTTCATACTTTTCAAACTACTAAAGCTAAAAGTTATGCCAAAGGTCACATGTTGCAGTAGAGAAAAAATAGATTTCAGAATTAAATAGATGTAGATTTGGATACTGATTCTACTATAAATGGCCTGTCTGTGCATAGGTAATTTGCTTCATACTTAAATTCTGTCAGCCCCCAAGTTCACCACACCTAAAATCCCTGACTGAATAACCTTCCAAAAGAGAACTCAGAACATGCATTTGGATGAGATGTATATGGTGCTAAGTTATCCCAAGAAATTGAGTCTGTTCAGCTTGATCATAGCTTTTGCTCTCTATCCTACAAGGGTTTCCTTTTAGTAATTTACAATGAGTCCAAAATACCCTGTGATTCTGAGCCAAACATCAGTGCATCCCTTGCCCTGGTGCCTGTCACTCTGCCCTAGTCATACAGGTCTCTGACAGGATAGAAACTGACCAAAGCCATACTGTGGGCCTCAGTTTACCAGAGCAGACAATTCAACTCAGTCTTAGCAGATGTTTTGTCACTGTGACAAATGCCTGAGAGAAACAATTTAATAGAGGAAAGATTTACTTTGGCTCACACTTCCAGAGGTTGCAGTACATGGTCAGCCGGCTCCATCACTTTTAGGCCTGTGGCAGAAACATCATGGAGGAAGGACAAGGTGTGGAGGAAAGCTGTTTACCTTATAGCAGCCAGGAAGCAAACAGGAGTAACAGGAAGAGGCCAGGATTGAAATGTATCCTGCAAAGGCCTTGCCCCAGGTAGTCACTTCCTCCAACCAGGCCTCACCTTCCACAGTTCTACTGCCTCTCAATACTCTACTCAAATTTTGAATCCATCAATGGATTAAACTTTTGATTAGGTCAGAGCCCTCATGATCTAATCAGCTCTGGAGATTTCTGTTTTGCTAATCTCCTAGGCTTTTCTGAATCCAGTCAAACTGACATTCAAGATTACCATTACAACATGGATTTAATTGACAATGTCAAAGGAAGAAAGTCTCTAGAAAAGAGGACATTGATTAAAGTTCTTTCAAAAGTACAAAGTCACTTCAACTCTGACACTAACTCTCCAGGGTTTAAGAATACAAACTTGAGAGCAGAAATCTGCTTTCCTTAATAATGTCTTACTCTAGGCAGCACACTATGCAATATTTCATGAATGTCTGTGCAGTATTTCATCAAAATGACTAGTTATTTGTTGTAAATATTGAGGACATACCAAGTAGTGAAGTTAATGAGCAAGCAGTTAATTCAGATTGTCATACATGGCCTCCATTTTTGTAAAAACCTTTCTTACTTGGTCTAAAAACAGATATTTTGATGAAATAATGATCTTTTATAGATCATTTTTGGAGCAGGGAAATATTTTAATCTTACCAAAGTGATCTAAGGAGAATAATATAATACCTAGAATACTCACCACCCAGTGTCAGCAGCTGTTAATCTTTTAACACATGTATTTATAATCATGCATATGCTTCAGTTTATTTTAATAGATATTCATCCTAATCCTGTCATCTTGTTTATATAACTTGTTCTTTGTTTTTTTACCACCCTATTTAATTTCACTATTTTGATAAATTTAAGTTTTGAATAAATAGTATACTCACACTGGTATAAAAAACCAAAATAATAATAATATTACAAAAAAACTCCCATTCCTGCTCCTATTTCACCTCCCATTCTGACACTGCCATCCCCCAGCATATCCTTCTAGAGTTTCTGTATTCAGGCACAGGCAATAGGAGTCTATATCCTCATGTTTCTTTCCCCCTTCTAAAAAAGAAAAAGTTGTACAACACTAATTAAATCAGAAATACTACTGCCTGAGATATGTGTTTAATTTCATAAACCTCCCCGGTAGCATGTGCCAAAATATATTCTAGTAGAATTGCCATCTTCCCACTTAATTAAAACAACTTTCATACCTCATTGGTTAGAGTTATCACCTTTGTTAGCTTTGTTGAATAGCAAGCAACTTGTGTCCTTTTGGGGGGCACTCAATTTAACTCTGAAGATAAAGATATGGATATGCTCTTCCCTAACATGTGTACTTGTTCTCAGGCAGAAAAACTGATTTACAAATCTCAAGTACAATGTCACATAATTCCTCTTTTCCCTTTATCACTGTAGACCCACAAAGCCCTGGTATAGGCCTAAGCAATGCTTTTCCATTTCTGTGTTGTCAACCCATAGGGTGGCATTAACTTAAATATTAGCATAGCCACTAGTATAAATATATTCTTTCTGTGCACTGAGAACGTTTAGTGACTGACGAGAATATTCATTAATTTGTTGACTTCGAAATGTGTGCCTTTGGAAAACTGCTGCAAGGCCCAAATCCTGAATTAAAGTGTTGATTATAATATGCAAGACATTAAATATTCAAGAAACAAAAAGAGCTTAATCCAGGGATGGCTGACTTTATAGGACTTGGGGGCTATAAGCTCTAGCACCCTGCTGCTTGGGGGCTGGCTCACTCCCAGTGGTAATTCTGTGAGACGGTAATGGCTAAGCTGGGTACAATGTTATCAAAAAGCAGAACACTTAATGACAATAGCAGCCATTCTCAAAGAGCCACTGCCCAGAAAATCATTCAAACCCAGTGACATAATGAAATTTGCTTTTCCTACTAAATGATAATGTAATGGAAAACCAACATTTGAGCTGAGTTTATAAAAATGTTTTAAGTGAAAAGAAGCTTAGTGACATTTAGGAATACTTCAAAGTGACTCTGAAATTGCCTTATGACCATATGTGACAATCTTACCTCAGTTTATGAGAACATATAGAAGTCTTTCTGTCCCTCAAAGTTGAACCAAGAAAAAATAATTAGCATATAATTGAACAAAAAGTCACAGCATAAAGTAGACATGAATTTGATGAATTCAGTTCATGTAAATTGTGTCACTTGGCCTTACCCAAAAGATCCTTTTCTCTAGGAAAAGATTATCTGAGGCAGTTAAAATTTTTTTATTGTCTGTATTACAATAGCATATTTGTCTTCTGTTACTTTCTTAGTCACTACTCATAAATTCTGGCCATGTATCAGAATAATAGCTAATTCAGTAGCTTCAAGAAACCTAGTGAAAACCCTTAGCCCACAGCAATCATACATGTGTTATCTCTCAGTGTCTGGCTTATCCTGAGTCATTTAGAGCTGTCCCCTGCAATCAGCCATATATTCAGACTTGGGATCTGATTGCTTCTTCATACCAGCATAGTAACTACTAAGCTAGTTATCTGTTCTCATAAACTCTTCCTCCTTCCTGCCTCCCTCAGTTCACTTGGGTGTGCTGCTAGCTTTGATCCTTTCTTGAAATAATGGCGTACTTTTTTCTTTTCAGTGCTGGGAATGCAACCCATCTCTTCCACTGCTCTACCACTGAGCCACATCTCCAGCCAATCAATGATGTAGTTTTAATAGCAAATACTGTTCTTAATCACCATGTAGTCAGTAGTGTTCTATGTAGATTTATCCCCTTGAAGATTCTATAAAGACCCCCCAACCCAGGTTTCATGGTTTGTTTGTTTGTTTTTCCTGTAAGATTGGTTATTTGCTAAGATCTAATATTAAAGTAGAGGAGAAGGGGCTGGGAGTCATCAACAGTATTTTTTTTTTAGTACCTACTCAGACCTAATCTATTGGATGATTGTTTTGCTTTTTTCAGAGTTGGTAGGGATGTCCTCCCCCGCTCTCGTCTGTTATTGTAATGTTTTTTTTTTTTTAATTACCAGAAGGGAGTTTTTAGAAGCAGCATTCTTGAATTCCAAACAAGTACAATCTGTTACCAGAGCCTTGTATAATATAGAATATTTTTCTGGTTAGCCATTTTTGTAAGGTGGTTTCCTACCCATCTTCCCCCTGCTCTCTGTTGGGTGATGTGAGGATAGTGTTGGTGTTTGGGGTTTTCATCTGCCTGCAGGCGTGTGGCCTTTAAGATTAGTCATCCCGTGGGGAGTAGAAGACAGGGAGAAACCCAGAGGAGGGAGTCTTCCTGTTTCACACATGGGTGGAGGTAAATTAAGTGACATTTATCTGTTTGTTTTCCTGTGCTCTCATTTTCAGTCTATGTAGTTATATTGCTGTCTTCTATGTTCCTAATTTATGCTGAGGTCATGAAACTGAGAATCATTTCAAAAATACTACCTGAGCAAGCTGTCACCCGTTTCCCACACTTTGCCTGAACTCGAGAGCTTCCTCTGTATAGACCAAGCTCACTGGTTCAGGATCAGTTCTCCTAGGAAATGTTTTCCTAAGGACTTGGGCTTTTTGTTTGTGAGCCTTGGGCTATGTACCATAAGCAGAGTAGATCTGTTGTCTCAGCCATTCTGCTTTGGTGACTGTATAATGCTGGTCTGCTATCAGAGCCTTCTGGCCTTAGAAAGCCTCAACACATCACAAAAGCTTCTGTTTTAGTTTCTGTATGAGATCCTAAATAGGTTCTGTATTAGTTTGTCTATGAAATTCTAAGTAGGTTCTGAAGTAAAAGTGGGGTGCCACAGTGAGAAAATAAACAGTGAGTCAAGGATCCCCAGCCAGACTCAGTAACTAATAAGTTAGATGATATATGCAAATCATCTAACCTGGGTGTCTTTTTCCTCATCTGTAAAATGAGTTGGAAGAGATGGTCTCTAAGATCTCTTTTGGTTGGGGGAAGAGAGGAGTGTGATTCTTCTCAATGGGAGAAGACAGCAAGTTCCCAGGCCAGAAGGCAGGAAGGCATACTTGTTAAGCAATGGCAAGCAAGGAACCTTTGCTGATTTGTGGGCTTCCCAAGGAGGCAGTGCTGCTAGGTGGCTGGAAGGACTGCATTAGAGCTTGCACACTGAGATCCTGAATATCACTCTCCAGAGAGTTACTTTCCATAGTTGTCAGGTGGAGCCATTGAAGATTTTTAAGTAAGGCTGTAACCAACTGAGCAAAGGGACATGGTAGGGGGCAGCCTTGTGGGGGTTGCAGTAATCTCACCAACAGCAAAATTAGAGGGTCTGCCAAATAGAAATTTGTCGTCAGAGTTCAAGTAAGAACTTGGAATCAGAGACAGAGATTTGGGGATGTTCAAGGAGAGATTGGAGCCATGAAAATAGATAAGATCTTTGATAGAAATTATAGGAGAGGGAGTTATGATGGTTTAGGATGAAATCTTAAGAGCAGCCAGAGTAGGAAGAAGTACTGAGAAGGTCTTGTCAAAGACACAGAAGGTCATCCAAAAGAGCTACTACATAGGGGCTCCCAGTAGATAACAGCATTTTCAGAGCAAGGCAGCAGTGCAAAATGCTAGAGAAAAAGTTCTTAGAATCTCACCTGTTACCTGCAAAACAACTACTTCTGTATAGCTTGGGGACAGGAACTCAATTCCAGGTAGATGAAAAAAAAAATGTAGACACAAAGTAGAACACATGGCTGTGGAATGAGGAAGAAACCAGAATAGTAACTTGAAAGAGGGGAGGGAAACAGAGAGCAGTATCAAGTGAAGGTTGATTATTGTTGAGATATTCACACATCTCCTGAGGTCAGAGGAAAGAAGCATTGGAGAATGAAAGAGATGTGGGAGCTGAATAATGGTGAGAACAGAGAAGCTCCCAGATTGAGGGCTAATCTAAGAATGGAAGAGGGAATGCACAAAGAGTCATAGAGTTGGAGGTAGAGAGGTAAGAATGTGAGTGCGTCATGTCTGTTGGCTGTTGTCATTATAGCAACATTTATGGTTGGGTTATTAAATATGAAAGTAAACATGGAGACTTGGGTTCCTACAAGAGCATGAAGAGGGCTCCAAGTAGCATCTATAGGATTGGCACCTGACCAGTCTACAACCTTTGCTCATCCTTTAAGCCAAAAGCAGAATGAGGGAGGCCCACATTACCTCCAGGTGGTAGACAGCTACCACCTGATAGCAGTCTTTGCTTATGTCCATGATAGAAGCTGTGACTCCATTTGTGGTACTCTTATAAACAGCTTCTCTCAAGGAACCTATCATATCTCTCTTTGTGTCTTCATTTTCTGTCAGTGAAGTTGAATTGTTTTCAAAGAAAATGATAGCATGATTCTCAAATGTCTACTGACTAGTTACTTCTCAAGTCTTGACTTGTCTGGTTACAGACCTAAACCTATCCTTTTCTACTGGTAATTAAGTTTTTCTTACAAGTTGTGTATAGTAATTTCAGGCATCTTAATTATCAGTGCAATAATTGGGAGGTTTCTGTGTTTTATGGTTCAAGTCAGTGTTAGTTTCATTGCTTTTAGCTAAGTAATAAGTTCTCTTAGAAGAGCAAATAATCACTGAACAGTCTGCTTTAACTAAGAATAACCAGGAGGCTAAACAATAGACCAAATTCAATGGTAGAACCTAGTATAGGCAGTATACTAGTATACTCTAGACAGTATCACCCTTACATGGGTCCTTTTCTCATTTTTGTGACTAAAATGTTTCCATTTGATAGGATACAGTATTAGTCAGGAATCTTTTGGTTGCAAGGATAAAATCTACCTATCATGAAATAGATTAGGTTTAGAAGTTTAAAATTTGTCCATGTAACTGGGGATACACAGTAGTAGACTGGCTTCAAGCAAGACTGAACCCAGGAGCTTAGACAGTGCTGCCAAGATTCTCTTTCCAACTCACTAGTCTGTTTCCCTTTGTGTGCTAACTTTATTATGACTAGAAGCCTCAAATTTGCATATTTGGATATTGGAATCCCAAAAACAGAAAGACTTTCTTCCATCCAGTTTCCAAATAGCAAATTCAAGGAGGCTCTTGCCCTAAGGTGGTTATTGTGGCCTGAAAAGTGGAGGACTCTGTCCTGCCTCAGCCACATGTCCACCTGGGATAGAGGGTGATGAGGCCTTCCTTCCAAGAAGTGTCTCATTAGGATCAAATGGAAAAAGTCTTCCTCAAAAAGAAAAACTGAAGAAGCAAGGAGAGATACTAGCTTAGCAAAAAGCCTGAAGTCTACCCTAAATATCATAGCACAAAAGCTAAACAGTAAAAATGACAATAGTCTATGGTTATTTTTGGAGGCATCCAAGGTTATCATGTATTGTTGCTGATGTTTGTGGTGATCTTCTGGGATGGACATCTAGATTCCAGCAGTGATGCTTCTCCTAGGGCTGGACTGTGCAGAGGGCGGATAACATGATTGCAAAAGGAACACACACCACTTCCAAGGCTTACCTAAAGCCATCTGTTCCTCTGGGGTCTGCCCATTGGTTTGAATTACATTCAGTAATCATTTGGTTTCATCAGGCCAGAAAGTTAACCATGAGAAAGGTTTACACATTCCAGTCCCCTCTGAAAACAGGAAAATGTAGAAGTTGGAAAAGTTAGCATATGTTAAAAGGTGGGAGGGGAGAAAGTGACAGAGAGATAAAGAAAGAGACAAAGACAGAGTGAGAGTGAGAGACACAGAGAAAGAGAGATTGAAGGAGAGGATGCATAAACACTTGAATCCAGCACCCACCTGACATAGGAGCAATGGCCACAGCTCCTTGCATGGGCACAGGTGTGCTGCCTGTCCTGCCTCACCAGCCAGACCTTCTGCGCTGTGTGCAGCCTAGGGTGGTTTCTGCTCCACCCAGTTTCTATAGCACTGTCTCAGAAGCCTGTTTGCAATGCCATTTCCCCATCTTCTCACCCACCATACCTACAGGCTATGTCTCTGTGAAAATTTCTTTGATAACACAAACAATAAAGATGCTTAAATTAGACAGTTGCCTGATTAAAGTGATGTTTTGCCACTATTTTAAAACCACAGTGATATAAGTGACTAGACTTCTCCCCTCCCTAATTTATAGCCAGTCTACTCAGCACATCAAAAATCCCCTTAATCTTTAGATCTTTATGTAACATGTGGGTGAAAATAGAACCAGTAAAACTGACACAGAGAAGCTGTATTAAAAAAAAAAAATAAAGCCCTCACCTTCACTTACTTCTTATTGTATAGACAGAGGTATGTATGTATGTATTTTGTGAAAACTTGATAATCTTAATAGGACTATCAGAATTACAATGTAGCTGAGAAAAAAATCTGAATCATGATTTTTTTCTTGAAGAAACTCTTGACTTGCAACAAAAAGTTTTCAGTTTGCAAGTGGCAATTAGATAGACAAAGCCACAATTATTAAAACCATCAGTCCTCAGTTCTCAAAATATGTGGAAAGGTCAATGATAGGGCCTGTTGTAGGATTTTTGGTAGTGATGTCTCCATTCTGATTGTATTTAATGTTCATTATTTTGTCAGTGTTCATACATGAGAATGATTCTTTTCTTTAAAGTCTTCCTTCTGGATAGGCAATAAGTTTTAAAGTATATTCTTTTGGTCTTCCTGATAATACTCTAAGGTGGGCCTCACTACTACTGTAATTTTAGAGATGAGGAAATAGACTCAGTGGGGTGAACCCGAGCTTCTCTTTGAGGTCTGGTGCCTGTTTCTACCCTCCACTCTGTCCCTGGCCTGTGAAGCTTGCCCCCTGGGTCAGCCTTTATTTACCCTCTTTCCCTGTTACTTTCTTGCTACTACCCTCAGGCAACCCAGACCCACCTTCCGTGTGCTTCCACAGCTGTGTTTCAGCCAAGAACCTGTCTTGGCCTTTGCTGAGCCTTCTGACAGGCTCCCTTGGGCCAGGGCGTGGCGAGTTGCTTTTCCCAGCCTGGGTGGCAGGACAGGCTGCCACATGGCCTGTTGGCTGCTTGAGCCTAGTCAATGTGGATTGAGGGTTTGTGTGGGAAGATTTGGGAAGATTTACAAACAAGGAACTAAGATCTCCAACAGGCTTTCAATCCTGGCTTTATTTCAGATGTGAGAAATGTTTTGGTAAATCTGCTTTTAGGAAAACCTCAGACCCTAGAGCCTTTGTTAAAAAAACATTTCAATATAATTCTAATGATGTCCAGAAAGTGAGCTTGCTTTGAAAGAAGGGGCATAAGGGGACATGAAATTTAAACTTTAATTCTGAGATTTGTTAAGAAAAGCTTTAATGGGATAAACTTGTATTTTTATGAACTTTGTCTTACATCCAGCTATCACCCAGTCTGTCCTGGTTCAGCCCCCAGGATATTTATTCCTGATGCTCAGGCCCTCAGAAATCACATTCTATGCTCTGTTGCCTCTGCCAGCTTGCCTGGACCCAGTGGCAGGGACCCCAGAACCTGAAGGTGCTGACAAGGATGACCTGCTATTGTTGAGTGAGATCTTCAACGCTTCTTCTCTAGAAGAGGGAGTTCAGCAAAGAGTGGGCTGCAGTGTTTGGAGACAGTCGGCTGAAGGAGCCAGTGCCGTCTGGAGCCCTGGGAGAGCCAGACCCCAAACCCCAGACAGGCTCTGGATTCCTTCCCTCACAGCTTTTAGACCAAAATATGAAAGACTTACAAGCCTCGCTACAAGGTAGGCATGACAGTAATTGAAATTAGGTTTTATGCTTGTTCATTCTTATGGGGTTTTTTGTTTTGTTTTGTTTTGTTTTGTTTTTTGAGGTGATACCTGCATTGAAATCAGGGCTTCATGCTTGCTAGGCAGGCGCTCTACCACTTGAGACACTCTCCCAGCCCTTTTTTGTGTTAGTTAAATTTTTGAGATAAGGTCTCACAAACTATTTGCCAAGGCTGCCTCTGAACCTCCATCTTCCTGATCTCTGCCTCCTGAGTAGTTAGGACTACAGGTGCAATTATTTCATATCCAATGACTTTCAGTTAAAATCCCTAAATCACATCCTAATTTTAAGATACATTGTACAGTTTAAGATATATTCCTTTGCTGTGCTCACACAGCCATTTGGAAGGTAGAGATCAGAAAGATTGCAGTTTGAGGCCAGTCCAAGTAAAAAATTAGTGAGACCCATCTCAACAAACAAGCTAGGTGTGGTGAGTTTTGTGCCGTTTATTCACAGCTACACAGGAGGCCACAAGTAGGAATCCGACCTGAGGCTGACCCTGGGCAAAAACCCAAGACCCTATCAGAAAAATAACTAATGCACAAACAGGTTTGGGGGTATGGCTCAAGTGGGAGCATGCCAGCCTAGCAAGCACAAGGCCCTCAGTTCATATCCCAAACCAAAACAAAAACAAAATCAGAAAAACTCTTCCTTCTCATAATTTCCTCCTCACATTAATATTTCTTATTAGGAAAATGTTACAGGTGAGGTTCTCAGTCTTCTTGACTTCTTTTGATTAAAGCTTTTGTGTGACATATATGAAAGGATCAAATTGCCTCCATGGCCATGGCCCTTTTGGCTTGCTACCCCTGCCTGGCTGCCAGCTCGAGTTTCCCCATTTACCCACGAAGCAGAGTTCCCCATATTCCCATAAACATGTCCCCCTTTATGTGCTGATTGACATTTCTCTGGCCCTTTGACTTTTGTCCACCCTTATGTTGTACTTGCTCTCCTTCCCCTCATCTTGACCCTTTTCCCCTTGCCCTGGCATTTCCCCATTTCCCCAGCTCAGCTGCTCCTGTCCTTCCTAAAACATATAGGCAAACAGTGAATCCCTGAGCCACTAGGGTTTCCATACTGACCAACAGTGATCACAACACTGAGAAGGGTTCAAAGTCCACCGAGGCTCAACAGCAGGCCACATGTCCTGCTGGCATGTCCCCACATTCATTTAAAGTACAAAACCAAAAACTCTAGTTGAAATGTAAAGTTTTAGGAAAGAAACTATTTTCTTTTTTCTCAATACTTTGTCCTTCTTTCATGTAATATTTATTGTGAGACAGGAATTACTGTTAAGAAATTCTCAAACTATTTTGTTTTTTCTATGAATTTAGCTATCTCCTTAATAAACAATGTGTTTATCTGGCACTTAAAGCTGAGAAAAAATGGCAGAGCTGGAATGATTAAGTAATTATGGGTTATTATTTCAGGTCTTTGGAGATGAGATCATGGATACAGCAGTTGGTGGGCAAGACAAAAAAAGTCTTCCCTCTTTTTTTTTTTTTTCAAAATTCTTGATTCCTTTAATCTTCCTTCGTGAGACCTATTTTGTTGCCATCTCATGTATTAGCAATAATGGAGTTGAGATTGTAGGGATAAATGAAAACCGAAAGTGCTTTTCCACCCCTGGTTTCACTGTCCCCTTCACTGGAGATCAGATGATGAGAGACTGCCAACTGACTTGAGTTTCACCCCCACCCACCTGTGGTGGAGGTGCTAAGAGTCGTGGGAGAGTCAGGAGGCCAGAGCCCAGGATCCTCAGCCCATCTCTTTGGGGTGCTGGAGACTCCCCGACAGTGCTGCAGAAATGAACCCCACTTGGTCCCCAGTTTTGGAGACACAAGGGCTCTGCTGCAGCAGGGAACAGTGGTGACTGAGTGTCCATTGCTGTGAGAGTAAGAAGGCAGAGCTCCACACCCTCTTCCTAAGCAGGCAAAGTACAAAGAGCTCTGCACAGGGCCTGCATGAGACCCACAACAAGGCAGTGACCATGGGGCTGTGCATGTCAGCCTTGCCCTGCATCCAAGGGAAGGCACCAAACCACACATGGGGCAAAGGAAGGTGATGTTTCAACAATGAGAGAGAAACACGCGGTATGCTATGGAAAGAGGAGGTTCTACAGAGGAAGCCATTTATTTCTCAGGCAAACAAAATCTCACTAGAGGGTGCCATCCAGTAAACTGCTCAATCATTAACGAGTATTCATTAGACCCCTTTGTGTGTCCAGCACTGGGAATGTATCTAAGAACAAAATAGAGCTCTCTACTTGGACTCATATTCTGATGGGGAAGAAATGGTGAACCACAAGCACAATAAGTAAACAAATCACACAGTAGGTTAGATAGTGATCCATGTTAGGGAGAAAAAGAAAAATTATAAGCTGGGGAGAAGGAGTGTTGGGGCATGGCAGGCTATAGAATTAAATAGGGTTCTTGCTAAGGAGATGAGATGCAAGGAAAGACCTGCAGGAATGGAAATTATCCACATGGACACCTGGGCAGGGGGAACAACCTGTCCTAATGCCCTGAGGCGAGTTTGTGCCCAGCATGGTAGAGGTCTGCAAGAAGAACACTGGTTGTGCTTACTGAGTGGGGGATTGAGGATCACAGAGATTATGGAAGATAGACAATGTTGTATGGTAAGCCATGTTCTAGCATAGTGGTCTTGTAGCCATTGGAAAAAATTGGGCCATGTTTTTCACACCAAGTGAAATTGGGAGCCATCACAATATCTTCAGCCAGAAAGTGACATGATTTGGTTTACTATTTAAAAGGATCATCCTGGTTGCCTTAAGTTTCCTGTCATCTGCTGGGGTTCTATCAAGATCAATGGTAAAGGAGTTATTGTATAATTACTGAGTTATTCTATTTCCTTTGCATATGAACAATTACCAATAGAGTCCTCAAATGACAAGAATGAATGTCATACCTAACTGATTGAAAGAAACTGCCCACTCAACTTCTAGGACACCTCCAGATTCCCAGCAGGTGAAGCCCAGGTTCCACCTCATGCTGCTCTGATTCAGGGAACCTTCAAAGTACATGTGGTACAAATAAAGAATGGGCTCCCAGCTTTAGTGTAATCACCGTCCATGCTTCTGTTAGTATTACTCCTACTCCCCAAAAGAGGAAAGAATGAATGTTGGCCCAAGATTTTTTTTACTGCATCCATTATCTAGAAAATCCATCTATCTATACATGAATAATAATGTGTATATAATAGTTTAATAATAACTATTAAACTTTGGCCACATTATATTGAAATTGCTTTCCCTGACCAACCAGATTATCTCAAAAACAAAATTCAATAACCACAGAAATAAGTAGCCAAACTAAGCATGGGAGAGAGAGGCTCATTGGCATACTGACTGAGTGAAACTGGTGGGGAGTTCCTGCAAATGCCTTTCCCTCCTCACTCTGTAGCCAGTGGTCAGGCCCCATCCAACTCTGTGGGTCTTTTCCTTCTCTTCTGCAAAATGAGGTGTTAAGACTCAGCTTCTTACCCATGTGTTAACCCTCACTTCAAAGATGATGAGATTTAAAATCGTGCGATTATGTCCATTTGTAGATGGTAAGATAGCATTAACCAGCACGCAAAATGACACACACTGTGGGCCAAACACTGACCTGTGTGGTTTTTGCCTGTGTCGACTTAGCCACTTAATCACCCTTCCCAGGTGGGTACTATTATCATCTACATTTTATAGTCTGGGAATCTGAGGAACTCAGTGCCTAAGTAATTGGCCGAAGATCACACACCTGGTAAGGACAGCTGGCCTTTGAATCTGACAGTCTGACTCAGGAACCTGTGCTTTTCAACAGTTCTCCCTTTGGCCTCTAGGTACCGGGTCTCTGATAGCGAAAGTAGTTCCAAGTAGGGCCCTTCAGGCCTCTTCTGGGAAGGAGGAACAGGACTTGGCATGATTAACCTGGCTGTGGCATCTTTATCACAGGAACAGGGACACCCATGTAGCCATGAGTATGGGAAAATGGTCTCTCTACATACAACAGTTGAATGGCATTCCAGAATAGAGTATTTGAAATCAGATTGTCCTGGGAAGTCTTTATGGGTAACACTTTGACATACTTGTGTTGAATCTCACCATTGTCCTAGCTCTCCTGAGGGGCTGGAGCTGTCTTAAGGGTCTGGGTCAGGGTTTCAGAGGATAGAAGTAGAGGATTTGGCTACCTCCACAGCTCCTCAGCCCCTCCCACTCTATATTCCTCTTTTCCTCTTCCTGCTCCATCTCTTCAGCCTTTCATCCCTGAGATTTTCTTCCACCTGCCTTCCTCTCTTTGACCTTTCTCCTCATTGGTCCCCCAGCCCTGAGGAGGGGGATGCACTAGAAAGGAAATTTAGTAAGAGAACAGTTAAACTTTCCTCTCCTCCTACTTTAAACTATAGGAGTCCAAAACAGATTAAAACATGTCAGATCGAGTTGTGTTGGAAATTAAAGGAAGAGTTAATTTTAGCCAAAATTTCTAAGAGTTTCTGAAGTTATCAGCATGATAGGCCTGGGGTTTCCTGTGACATGCAGTGATGAAAAAATTGTGCCTTCTGGGGCCTCTTAGTATGAGTAGGAGAGACAGCTTGAGATGACTGCCCAAGCAGAGACTAAGCAATGTTGGAGAGCCTTATAGTCAACATTCTTTTAGATTCTCCCACCAGTATCTAAGGTATAATTTAAAACTAGACTCTGATATTGGAAAGAGTACCAGCTAGCTGGTTAAAATAAATATACCAGGACATCCTTCAATTTAGGATTCTGAAAACTAAAGCTAGGATATTGATTCAGAGTGGGGTTTTTTTGTTTGGGGGTTTTTTTTTGTTTTTTTTTTTTTTTTTGGCAGTACTGGAGTTTGAACTCAAGGCCTCAAACTAGGCAAGTGCTCCACCACTTAAGACACACCCATAGTCCATTTTGCTTTAGTTTGCTTTTAGATAGAGTCTTGTG